CGGAGCGGGGACGCGGCGCGGCGCCTTCTTGCTGCGGGCCGGACCCTCCGAGCGGGCTGTGTCACGTTTCTCCGCGGCCGCCCTGGCGCCGCCTCTAAATAAAATCGACTAGAAGGAAAAAAAAAAAAAAAAAAATGGAGCGGAAAAAAAAGGGCGAAGCCACGTGGTGACAGCCCCCACCTACCCGGCAAGGGAAGACCCCCGACGCCTCCCGGGACCGCCGCGCTCCGCCCCGGCCGGACCTCGACAGCCTGTCTTGGGGAGGGGGGGTTCCCCCACTCGGCCCGGTTGGAGGGGGACCGCGGGGCGCAGTCAGTACCCCAGCTCCGCTCGCCCCCTCCCCCTCGTCCGGGACCCGGCGGGCCCCGCCTCCTCCCCTCCCCCACTCGCCCCGCGCGGGGTTGGCGGCCAAGACCCGAGGTTCCCGTGCACTAGCATGAAACGCACGAATATTTATTCGTTTTGGGGGCCGCGTGGCGCACCCCGACCCTGGTTAAGTGCCAGTGTTTGACAGGCTTGGGGTGGCGGAGAGACAAAGGGAAGCCTGGGACTCGGGGTCTTCAGGAGGGGGTCGCACGAGCCGGCGATTTAAACGGAAAGGCGCCCTTTCCCCAGATTCGAGAGCCGGGGTCCCCGCCCCTGCGCCCCTCCCCCACGGTGCTCCTCGCCCTCCCGGGGGTCTAGGACGCGGGGAACCAGCTAACACGAACAAGCTTTGATGGAGAGACTGCGGCTCAGGACCCCAAGATCATAGGGCGCTCGCCCCTGGACCCGCCGTTAAAGCGAGCCCCCGAATCCCGCCAAGTGACCCCGGACCGACAAGGGTGGCAGCTGGGAGGGGTCGCCGTGCTCGCCAGGGAACCCGGCGGCGATGCTAGGAGAGGTGGGCGGACGACGGTGTCCACAGCAAATTGCAGGCCTGGCGCAGTTCGCCCCTGCGGGGAAGGACGTGGATCGGGGTCTCGGAACTTTGTTTGGGGTGCGGTGGCTAGGCGGGAGCTGGCGGGGCGGGGACGCGCAGGCCCCGCCCATGTCCCCAGGTCAGCCCGCGGGGGGAGGGGCGGTTTCCGCTGGGCGCGGGGAAGCGGGGGGCGGGGCGGGCGGCAGCCCCTCCCCCAGCGCGGGGCCCGAGGAGCAGATCCGCCCGGGTCCCCACGCCCCACGCCCACTGCCCTGGCTCCGCCGGCTCGCGGAGCCCGGGTGGGACCCGCGTGGGGCTTGACGGCACGTGGGCGGCGGAGGAAGGGCGCGGTGGCATCGCGGTCCGGGGCAAAGCCCTGGTCACTCGCTGCACGCGCACCGGGGTCCCGGAGGGCTGCGCGGCGGGCGAGGCAGACGAAGGGCGGGGGCGGGGCGGGGCGGGGGCGCGCGCCCGGGGACTCTGGGGCTCTGGGGCCCCTGGCCCTGGGAGCCTACGGAAGAGCGGGTCTTCCCTAGGAATGCGGGGTTCCCAGAGCAGAATGGGGCGGTGTAGGGGCTCGCATGTCGGGGGACAGGTGGGAAAGTGGGTCACTTTCCAGGGTCCCCGTCCCGACCCCATTGTCTCGGTCGCCTGCGCCTGGGGAAGACTCCGTAACACGTGTTGACTGCACCGCTGCAGAAACCTCGAATTGCTTTATTGTGACTATTTTTCGTTTTCAGGGTCCGACTTGCCCGATGCCCTTCTGCCGGACGACCCGAGACCGGCCCCAAAGTCCGGGGGTTAAAGACGACGGCACCTTTGTCGCCTCTTTTCCTGGGGCCAGGACTTGTGGGCGGGGAGGGCCCCCTGTGCTCTGGCCGGCCACGTGTGCGTCTGATTTCTGTTTTTATGACATTTTTCTTGCCGCGAAGCAACAGGAATGAGAATGCGAGGAGCTGGTGGCGGGCGAGCGGGAGGACCGCGTCTGCGAGGTGGGAGGCGGCCTGCCCGCGCCCCCGCCGGCGTCCGCGCCGGAGCGGGATTGTGGAACCGGTGGAGCCGCTGAGCTGGAAACGGCGCCTGGCACATAGTAGGCGCTCAGTAAATACTAGAATGAAAAGCAAGCGGAAATAAACTGCGAAGAGAATTCCGGAAATTGAGTCCAGAAGCAAATTCTCTAAGCCAGAAGGTTGTGTGTGGCTGTTGCCCGGGGAGTTTTTCCCGGGGCTGTGTGTGAACTGAAAAAAGCTAAAAAATGGTCTCAAAAACCCTGTTGTGTTACCTGGCATTTTTCTAAATGGGAGTTCCCCCCCCTCCGGCGCCCTAAATCTTTTGTTTTATTGGGGAACAAGGAACAATGTAGGTGGGCAGAATATCCCAGGACTCCACGATTGCAAGAGGTCTTTTACTTTAGTAAATCTTTAGGTATTGATAAAGGCACTTGTGGACTTTGTCCCTGGAGACGTGTCTAGTACTCTATCTGTAGAACAAAAGCAAGTTCCACCCTACACCAAAACCCCTCAGCTAGACCTTTAAACTCCTGCACAGTGCAAACCATCTTTTAGTATTGCTAAAGTTAAATGCAAAATTTCTTCTAAAAAAAAAATGAATTCAGCTCACTTTTAATATTTTTTACATTTAAAAATTAAAAAAAAAAAAAACCGTAGAGGTCAGTGTTAGCTGAAACTAGCCAGTTTCCAATGTATATAAAGTGATGTTGGGGAAGAAAGTATAAATATTTCAATAGTCTGTTTAAATTTTTTTTTTAAATTTGATTATTGATAGGTTGAAACTTTTTTAAAAAAATCAGCTTTTGGACTGAATTGTGTGCTCCACACACACTCCCCCCCAAAAGGGGCGTGCGTGTGTGTGTGTGTGTGAGAGAGAGAGAGAGAGAGAGAGAGAGAGAGAGAGAGAGAGAGACCGAGAAAGGGAGAGAGGTCAGTGTCGAGACGCAGGCAGGAAACCGGGTTGAATTCAGTTCTGTCCCGCATCACAGTTGCCGCAGGGACCTGGCTGATCTGGCTGGGCTGGGGCTGGACGGTCGGTGACTGGGCAGAATCAGCTGCGTTGCTGCACTCCGAGCCTAAAATTCACCTGAAAGAAGGGTTAGTCCTTGGGAGCCTTGCTTTTCTAGGGGACAAAGAGGACTGGCCAGGCGTGGAAACCCCCAGGTCCCCTTTTCTCTTGCTTTTGGTTTATTACTACTGATTTTAACGGTATTTAATTGCTTTTCTACATTGCCTCTTTGGGAAAGAGAAATCTTCCATGCAGGGCCAAATTCAGTTTCTGTAAAAGTAAAAAACACTAAAAAGTTGCAGGATCAATTATCTTTTTCTTTCTTGAATAATAAAATGATTCTGTTTCCTCTGTTCTTCTTGCCTCCTCTCCTCCTCCTCTTCCTCCGCAGATCACGTGATGGAAACTTGACTCCTGTTGAAACTAGGATTCTGATCCATTTTCCTCCAATGTCAACAAATAATGCAGAGGGGGATGTAACAAAACAAATTTTTAAAAACTTTAGGAAATACGTTGTAAAAATCAGCAACTTCACCACTGTACAAAATTAATTTTATTGCTAAATATTTCTTTCCAGCATTTTATTTGTAAGTTTCACATTTTCTTTTTTGTTTTTTTTCTTTCTTTTTTTTTTTTTTTTTTGTACTAGAAATCGAACTCAGGATCTTCCACTGGCCAGGCAGGCTGAGCTGCTGATCTGTCCCCGGGGCCCTAAGTTCCACATTTTGTCACTTTTTTTTTTCCTTTTTATTGCTACTGTACTATATTCCCAGTTTTTTCAAAACTCGTTTTTATTCAGCCCAATAGATAGAAATCATTGCTTATTACCTATGCGTAATAGAATACATCAAACTTTTAACTGCTGTAAATAGTACAAAATGATCACTTGGGGTATATAATTGTTTTCTTTTGTATAAGTCTCCAGGATATATAGTGCATTTTAGATCTATTTTTTATATTGATTTTATTGAGAAAGCAATGAGACAGTTTCAAAACAGGTTAGTAAGACAGTTACAATAATTAATACATTGCATATTGTTGTCTTCATAGTAGTTATTCCTACTACAAGATGCAGACATGGTAGTGCATTTTATTTTATTTATTTATTTTTGCAGTACCAGGGATCGAACTCAGGACCTTGCACTTGCCAGGCAAGCACTTATTCTACTGAGCTATCTCCCCAACCCTGATAGTGCATTTTAAATCTAACAGAGACTTTCCTATTTTTAAAATGTAACGTAGGGGCCGGGAAGATAGCTCAGTGGAATAAGTGCTTGCCTGGCAAGTGCAAGGTCCTGAGTTCGATCCCTGGTACCACCAAAAAACAAAACAAAACAAACAAATAAAATATAAAAGAAAAAATACCAGAAAATGGCATATACACTTTCTTTGGCGGAACCAAGGATTGAACTCAGGCCCTTGCACTTGCAAGGCAAGCACTTATTCTACTGAGCTATTTCCCTGGCCCTTGGAAAATGAGAGGCAGATACAATAAAATAAAATTTTCATTTTGTATTTTTACTGAATGATAGTCCCTTGTGAAATAAAAATGTGGTTGCTATAAAATACTCAGAAAACCAAATGTACATTTTCTGACAACTTTAACCTCAGATTTTTGTAGGAGTTTGCGATTTTTGTTTGTTTGGGTTTTATTTTATTTATTTTTGTTGTTGTTTCTTTATTGTTACTGCATGGGGAAGTTTGTGTTTCTTCCTGCAGTTTGAAGTCTTCCTGTGGTTCCTTTCCATGCCTATAAACTTTGAGAAAGTGTAAATTAGTCCCAGTTTAAAAGCACATGCAACATTTTGTGCTGTCAATAAAGATAATTATGTGTTTAGGATGTCTCATAAAATGTAAAAGAACTAACCAAAAAAAAAAAAAAAAGTTCTGCCC